CCGACATCTGGTGAAAATTTCATGTCATTAGCACCTCTAGTAATATATTTACTGAGAAAAATGGTGACATGTTCAATATTTATTTTACCCGCTGTATTTTATTTTTCGTAGAGGGAAGGTAAAATACTTTCTTGGAGTTACTTGTGTACCTTTTTTTTAGCAGGTTTTGATTTACTCCCCATCTCCTTTGCTGGGTACTTCCTTTTAGACAAAGAATCCATTCGGTCTTTGATCAGTTTTACTATTTCTGAGTTTCCAAACTCTAAAGCAATATCAAGGCAGTTTTTTCCTGGAAACAAGACAGAAATGCTATATCAGTAACAGTATCTGTAACTTTCTACAACTATTGTTGTGCATTTGGTTGTTAATATGCTTCCATGAACAGTTTCATGATATAAAATCTGTTTAACAATCATTATTAAAGCAATGGAAGATTATAGATTATAAAGGACTGATAAACATAATATTCTTTATAACAATGTCAACACATAAGTCAATGGTATTTAAAGTTTTGAACTGAAGTATTTTCAAAATAAGCTTGATGCTATTTGAAAATCTAACCTTTCTTGTTCACTGCATTCACGTTGGCACCCGCCTTGATGAGGAGCTCCACACACGATGGTTTAGCGCTCTCGATGGCTCTAATGAGAGTTGTGCCTCCGCTGAGGCTCGGAGTGTTAATAGTGGCCCCGGCCTCCAGCAGGAGGTCAACTATTTCCAAATGGCCTGCATGAGCCGCGTGGTGAAGAGGCGTCCAAAAGAACTGGTCACGCATGTTAACATCAGCCCTGTCAAAAACAATGGTTCTGAGTTAGATGTGTGGACAGATCAATCCAAAATTAATAGATTTTTTTTGTTTTATTAAGTGACATTTACTCTAAAAAMATAGACAAGTTTGTACATATTGCCACCCTTATTACTGTCTGCCCACTTCTTCTCTGTTATGATGCTGCAACTTTAAAAATATCTCTACAAGTGAAAATGTGCAGGACCTGATTGGAAAATGTGTCCAGTGACTTTCATTAGAACTACATCATAAAGTGTGGATGATATGAAAAAAATGGCTGAACATCAGCCCTGTTTGATGTTTTCTAGCTCAAATYGTCACAGTAGAAACATCAATCAAAGCTTTAACAATTCTCAGAAAATTGGAAATTTACATGACTGAACTGGCATTTTGATGACATTTTTACACAGTACAAGCTTGAGTTTTGTCAAACCATTTTTTATTTGCAATGTGATGTTCATCTTATTGCCAGAGTATGCACTCTAACTTTAATAGCATTTTTACATTAAAAAGCTCAGCCTAGCCACAGTCGGTCTGCCCAATGCGTACCCCAGCCCAGGCTGTGATTGCTGTGAGCAGAGTGCTCCCATGATGTGGGAGATCACAGTGTGCTAATATAAATGTAGTGCCATTTTATTTGTAACACAACAATGTACAACATGAAGCTCATGGTACTTCTCTTCATTATGGCAGGGGTGTCAAACTCATTTTTTACTGAGGGCCACGAGCGTTATGGTGGCCCTCGAAGGGCCAGTTGTAGTTAACTTTGGTGTTTCATGTTTAACTTTGACTAAACAGAGTTTTAACACGTCCTCTTTTAAACACTGCAAGTGTATGACTGAATAAATCTGAAATAAATACAGAAATATTATTAAAAGCAAAACAAATAAAGTTTTACTCACTGATGACTGTCTAGTGAGTAGCTGTATTATGGCAGATTTAGTTTATGTTTGATGGTGACCTTAAAACAGCTTATTTTCAGACATTAATACTGTGCTATCCAACTAAATAACTCAGTTAGTTCAAGCCAAAAGCTCAGGGACAGGAATTTATTAAATTTATTTTTATTAAATAAATTTTGTTGCATTTAATCCTAAATTTAAAGTTTACCATTGATGTAAGAAACAATTTTCATGTTAAGTAATATATATATATA